AGATTTTCAGTACAAATCGGCAATTTCATACTTTAACCCCTATTATTACAGTTAGCCAGCTGCAATTATTAAACTTTGTTATTCGGAACATTTATTATTTCACTTCGTAAAATATTTTATTACACGAAAAGCTTTCCCACACTGATTCTTTTCGCGTAAACATGTGGTTGCAATTAGTAAGCGAAATTGAATAAATTAACATAATTAATAACTCGTTAGGAAAAGACAAGTTTTGCCCGTAAAAAAATTAAAAAATTATATTTGGGTAATTCTTCAAAGAACTAAGAAGTAATTGGGTTAAAGTACTATAGTACTATAATATAATTAAATTATTTTCAAGTTCAAGTAGTGCCATGAAAATCGGGCTCTATAATCAGGCTCTGCGGATTTTATTAACACTTGTGTAAAGTATTAATTGCACATTGTTATGGACATATTATAATCTGCAATTATTGTGGACAGGCGTGTCGCTTACCAACAGGCCCATGAATTGTTCGCCCTGTCACTTGATATTATATTTTTTTTTAAATATGCCGTTGAAAAAGGATTATTTGGTTTTTGGTGTTTAGTTATAAAATATAAAAAAAGGTAATTTAAAACACACCTGGTCAAGCATATGAGGGTTGCTTTCATATCCTCCAATGTGACAACTCTCCCCTTGAATTTTGATGTATAGGTTGACATCGTGGTCTCTGATGTTGGGGCAGTTGCGGATTTCAGGCACAGAGTCCGAAACCACGTATGCGTGTTTGAAGGGAATTAAAGGCAGTGAGGGAACGCCGGCAAAGCGCGCTACGCGAGGACCCCAAGCTCCTACAAAGTAAATCATGTATTACATATTCGAATACCTACATAAAGTAACTAATAATTTTAGTAGCAGTAGAGCTCCTTGTTAAAGAATACATCCAAGGAAGTACTATCATCTTGCCTACTTCTGCCGCCAAACGGTAATGTGAGCATTACTGTGTTCCTGTTTTGAAGGTTAAGGGTGCTGGTGATTCTGGGTCCTGTAATTACAGGCATTTGAGACCTGGGTCAACTTCTGTCTCAGGGTGACAAGCGCAGTTGCATTTTTTTTCAAATCTTTGTGATTTAAAGTTCTGAGTGGCGCTCTGGCACTGCAACTGCTATGGACAGGCTCGTCGCTTACCAGCAGGTGCACGACTTGCTCGCCCCGTCACTTAGTATCATAAAAAGTAAATAATTAGAACATTACATTCATGGATATTTTGTTAGTTTGCCTTTTTATTAAAAAGGTAGTTATTTCTGTTAAAAATAGTGAAGCCATATCTCCGAGAATTTGTTGCTAGGCATAACCCAACAGTCACTTACACTGTTTACTTCTAAATGAAAAGTTTTTCTCGGTTGGAAACATATCCACATAATAACAATTGCTTTATGTCACCCAGTTACAAATAAAGTTGAGATAAAAGTAGGTCAAGTTCAAGATTGTTTTGGTAAAAAGTCTCATGTGGTTACACCTTCATACTTTTGCAATTACAACATAATAAAACTTCCGCGTTATATACATAACATATTTTGCGTGACTGTGTTGTAGATATGTAAATTATGCCGCCAAGCGGCGGTGAGCATTACTGTATTTCGGTTTTGATTACTTTATGTACTGGTGCTGGTCTGACCTATCAAACTAATACACTGTACCTAATATCAAAAACAGCATTTTGAGAAAAAGCTGCGTAAAAGACATTTCCGTTTTTTTGTAAATTAATAACATATAAGATGTTAATAACATATAAAAATAGATTTTTTTAACTTAAGTTGTACATTAGACATTAAAGAAATCTATCTAAGCATTATAATTTTACTTTAGAAAATAAGTTATTTTTATTGGAAAACAAATTTATTTTTCCTTGATAACAGCCGAAAGATTCTTGTTGTTATGAAACTACAAAACACTGTATTAAGTCTTGCAGTGTTTTGGTTTGACAAGGTAGTAGTGAAATTAGTGGCACATGAGACTTGTCAACTTATGTCTCAGAGGGTGACGGACGCAGTGGTAGTGCCTCTCAAATATTTGCGGTTTAAACTTCAACTTTTGTATCTATGGCTCCGTCGTTTTGCGCGACGGTTTCGCCAACGCCAGGGTTGAAAGACATGTAGTGCGGTGGTGAGATAGATTCGCAAAGCTCGTAGTGGTACTGCAACTGCTATGGACTACACTGAGAAGTCTAGAAAGACTGTAGTTATGTATCTGAGTAAATATATTGAGATGTATCTCTAGTAGTAGTCTAGTAGACTGCTTGACTTTGACTGCCTCCGTGGCCGAACGGTTACCATGCCGGACTACCACGCAGAGGTCCCAGGTTCGATTCCTGAGCCGGGAGAAATATTTGCATGGCCTACATCTATTTCTCTCGTGAGTTTGGGTGTAATTTGTGGTTGTCTATGTGTGTGTCCATGGCACCCGCGACACAGGGTTTCCCTAGTGTGGGGCTATGTTAAGTGTGTGCGTAAAAAAAGATCTGCTTCTTTATATAACGAATATGTTACCTCCACAATTTACAACACACTTGGTCTTTATAAATCCTTTTTCTGTATGAATTCCTGTGACTTCCTTGTTGCCAAGAATGTTGTGGGCGTAATGAATGTCTAACACTGGACAGTCTTCGTATACCTACATAGAATAAAAAAAAGTAGCTCAACGAACTTCTACATTTTTTGAAATCGGTTAATGATTACTGACATGTTTATGGGATTTTTCAAAACAGAAATACCATCTTTTTCTGCAACTATAGAAAATTAACCCAATTTAGGTATTTCGTATTTTTAAAAGGACATAAATAGTTATGTTTTACGGTATGGTAGACCTATATATACATATGTATTTTGCTTTGAAGTCAAAGTTTATTTATGAAATGAAGATTATTGTTTGAAATCACTTACTTTTCCACCATTTCTCGTGGCAACTTTAATAAGGGCATTACAAGCCATACTAGGGTCAATGGTACCGTCTTCGGGCGAATAAAGTGCCATTTTGAATATTGACGGATCCAATATCGGAAAAAGCTTCTGTGCATCCTCTGGACTCAGGACTTGGCTTGGGATCCCCATTGCGTTTCCCAGTGTATGTAGACGCATATATTCTTGTGTGCGGAGCTATAGAAGTAAATTGGAGACGATTAGTCATCGTTTGGATAAAGAAATTATCGTTGGTTTTATAACAAAACGTATCTTAGTGCTTATTGTCGCATACTATTTGTTCCAATGATATCTATGTACATACTAGCGTTTCTGTATTATTTTGACATCAAGATATAGGGTCAAGAACACGTCAAGCTTGACACTTACGATTCAAATTCAACTCTACTCTTGCAATAACGGTCCAAAGTGACCAGTATGCTGTGGTGTGTGTAAAATTAGAAATTAGTTTGTTCTGGACCGCTAATTATGGTAAGAAAAATTTACAATCACATAGCAATTTTCATAAAAGAAATTCAAGAATTTAAAATTTTCTCCAAACCTCTAAAAGAATTCCTCACAAATAAAACCTTATATTATATTATTTATATTATAAGCTTACTAACTTTTTAGATAGATATTAAAGAATTTTTCAATGACAAAATTCAATTTATTATGTAATTAATTTGTTTGTTCTCAATTTATCTTATACATGTAAAATTGTAATGAATTATTTAATATGATCTCAATTTTATTGCTTTTATAATGAGTAAGTGCCCTCATCACTTTGCCATGCCCTTACAGGGTGTCACATGTACATTTTCAAACCACTGTACTTGATATAATATAAATGTGACAATGCAATAAATGAATGAATAAATGTCTTGACTGTATATTAATATAATAATTATTATTAATATTGGCTTTTTTATTGGATGTTTGACAGTGGATGTAGGTATATCTTTATTTTGTCATTATTAACTGTATACAAATCTTTTCAAATAAAGTAATGGCTTATGACTCCAATTGAATAATGACAAGTCAGGGTCTCACCACACTTATCGGCAAGGATTCGCATTAAACCGATCAGAAAAATCTTTATGTTCATTTAATAAGTGCGAAAATAACGTAGTGCGTTTCGCGTTGGCGATTCAAGTGGAAGCGAAACGCGTGACGCCTTTTTCGCTCTTATTGTATAGACTTAAAAGTTTTTCAAATAGGTGCCCAGGGCTTTTCCGTGTGAATAAATGTACCTTACTCCGCGATATGAACATGCCGCCATTATTTATCCAGCCTGCGTACTCGCCGCTTTCTTGTTCCAATCCACTATAAACTGCTCTGGAGTCACGTAGCAGATGAACCTCCAAATCACAAGGCCGCAGAGACCATACCAGACCTATGAATGGATTAGAAGACATCGTATCAATTAAATGATAAGGCAGATTAATGTTTTATTCTTAGTTAGAGAAATTGATCGTGAATTTGTATCTTAATAAAAGAGTTCTTTGTCATATTATAATCGCAACTATCTTCATAAATAGCAACGTCGACGCCCCTTCACCAATCATCTGCAAAGACGCCAAAGATTCGAATACGCTGAAAAACTAAAATTTACTTTTCCTTATTTAGCTATAGAGCGGCAAAAACATTGGGCCCTTACGCTGAAGGTAAGCCCATCTGAATGTTAACAATATCACGACCAAACTCTTGTAAAAAAAAAGTAGGTACAAAGTTTGATGGACGAGCTAGAAACTGAGTTGCCGGCAAGTCTGAGACTAAAATCTCTCAATCTTCTCATTAACAACGTCTACACAGAAAAAAAGGATTTCTACTAATAAGAAAGAGCAATTTCTCAAAATATTTGCTAATTCTGAAAACATATTTATTTAAAGTAATAAAATATTGTCATTACAAAGATACTGCTTATCTTTTTCTAATACAATTTTACTCTTAACTTTATTCTAACTTTGAGACAAATACGTTCACTTCAAGATTTTATTTCATTTCTAATCAATTAATTGGACATTACTTACATCAAGAAATTTTTTCCTCTTACATCAAATCTAAATAATCTCAAATGAATCCCCAATTTCTTGGATGTATTTTAAGAAAATATTTTCTTAGACAAAAAAAAAGTTATTTTGCCAATAAGAGTAATATTCTAAATTCGAGAATACATTTTTTATGGCAACATTTTGCTTTGTCATTTTCAATCATGTCGTGACATGTTGAAAACGCGCGCGCTCCGTCTCCGTGGCCGTGGTATCTGCGATTGAAGAAGCCATCCATAAATCAATAGCCAATTATTTAAAATGTGAAGCAAAGTGAACTATACTTACTTAGTTTTACTTGAAATCTTAAAAAGGTAAGGCAAGGAGAATAAAATCTTAAAAAGGAACTGATTTTTCTATTTGTTGTTTGTGGAAACAGTAATGGATTCGTTGAAAGAACTTTTGGAATCGTGGAATTTACCACAAGTTGTAGTGACCAATTTTATTGGTGAGTGATTTGATGTTATTATGAATTAATTGTGTAAGTATTACATTTTTATGCACATGATGATATTTTGTACGTAACGTTGAATGTAAGCGTAAAATGGAGGGATCTTAGACGAACTTTTCCTAGAAATAGGTATACAGTATACTTAAACATGGGATTATTTAATTTATGAGTTTTTATGTAAATAATCTCTGTTTAGAATCCCGATTTAATGTCGTCATTGTTTATTAAAAATAATATACCTATCTACCTTTGAAATGCGTGACTTCGACAATTAGCATTTTACAATAGAAACTAACTTTTAACTGCCTCTGTGGCGGTTACCTTGCCGGACTGCCACGCAGAGGTCCCAGGTTCGATTCCTGGGCCGGGAGAAATATTTATACAGCCTACATTTATTTCTCTCGTGAGTTTGGGTGCAGTTTGTGGTTGTCTATGTGTGTGTTCATGGCACCCGCGACACAGGGTTTCCCTAGTGCGGGGTATATTCAGTGTATGTGTTATTGAGTGTGTGTGTTATTAAACTAGAAGTAAAATACATAAAAAGATATTTGATTTAATTTGACTTTATTTACAAACTTGACTACTTTTGCAGAGAATGGTATAACGATTGAACATTTCCCCAAATTAAAACTAGACAATTTGAAAGAATTATGCCCACATATGGGGACTAGACTATCTTTAGAGGAAAAGATAGGGGAGCTTATTACTGCACAGGTGAGGGACCTGTATGTTTAAGTTAAAAAATTTAGTTGAAAGTGCTTTCATACGTCAGTATGAAAGCACTTTATATATCTTAACATAGTTTGACTACAAAATACACAATATATTCTATTTTTTTAACTTTACAGGCAACGACGGATGCAGTATCTGAATCAACTGATGATCAAGTCATTATTACTCCCACCTCCAGTAAATTTGAGACAAGCACCAGTGATTGTTTATTTTTGTTAGTTTTTTACCAGTTTATTAGTTTCATTAGATGAACTACAAATGGTCGACATCTTGGAAACAACCAAAAGTGTATCTAGAAAAACATTTCCACATTTTGATTTGGAGACACTACTGCATACGTCAGCAGGTGGCAATAGTATTTTAAAATACTATGAAACATATGGTTTTCTCAATAATACCAAGAGAAACCAGTTGACTGATATAATTATAAAACATATATACACATACATTGTCAATTAGTAAGTATATACTGTATATATTAGTAAGTATATACTGTGTTCTGATTACTTTTACACTTCCCAATAATACATCATCATTTTTTTAGCCGGATAACCTATGAAGAATATAATATTATATCTGCGAAAATAATATCACTGTTTCCAAAGGAGTCAATAGGCACTTATTTTACCAAACCTATAAAAAAAAATAATTCATTTAATGGACGTTCTACAGTAGCACGAGGAAAATTGGTGGACAAAGTCCGTAACCTTCTGTATAAATATGGAGACCACACACAAGCGACAATCTGGCACTCTAGAAAATGCTCCACCGTTTAAAAGACAGTATATTCAAGGTTTGCAAGGTAATTTTTTTTTAAATAGGCTTGCAATTAAACCCACTGACTTTCACTGGGTTAAAGCAATTTATGAACCTATTTAGGTATTTGAGAGTAGGTATTCTAAGTCGCATTCTGGGTTTTTAATACAGGTAAATGTAACTGTAAATCCACTGTAAGTGGGCCCCATTTACAGTGGTCCAAAAATTTTTCTACATAGAGGAGTAACAACCCATTTAAAATAAACATTACTTTAGCAAAAATCAATAGCTTAAGTTATGATTTTTTTATGTACTTTCTTGAAAATTTTCTACTCTAGTCAAAAGTTTAAAACTAGTCTATTTTGAAAATTATTCCACTAATTAATTGAAATTTGGTATTAAAGTAGTAGTAACCATGTAGCTAGCATGCAATGAACCATTTTTGTGTTTGTTCTTAGATTACTCCGTTATTTTTTAGACAATTCATGTTCATGAGTTTCTACAATTTTAACTCTCTAATGGTCATAATGTACACAAAAAGAAAATGTTTAAAAACATATAGAGAACTTCTGATAAATAGATAGGTTTGAGAATAATTTGATGTAAATCTGAGCTGAACCAATGTTTTTTTTTGAGAAATTAAGTTAAAATTGTTTGAATAACGATTATGATACTGGTGGTGGTTTTAATGACTAGAATAGAAAATATTGAAAAAGTATGGATGGCAACGTGTCAAGTTACACATTGACGTATCTTGTTCCGTTGCACTGGAGGCTTTTCAAATAAAAATGTGTGGTCTGATGTGCTATTGACTGTAAATAAATAATCATGAATTCTAAACTATTGAATTTTGCTGAACTAATGTTTATTTTCAATAGGTTGTTTTGTTACTATATCCTCTATCTAAAAAAAAATCTATAATATTATTATTATTAGATAGGAACAGGTACTTACGTGGGATAGGCATTTGTCAGGTGATTGGAATGCAGGTAAATAATGAAAGTCTTACAAAACATTTCAATAAGGATAAAATGAAACACTAACATGATTTTTTTTAGATTTACATTTAAGAGATATACTGTTTCTCAACAATAACACCGAACCATGGGGTGAAGTAATACAAAAATGTAAACATACGTTTAAAGTTCGAAAAGAAAGTGAACACAAGAGCGTTCATGAGTTTCTACAAGACTGGAAAATATTATCAGACAAAAGAAGTGACATATTGGTATGTAATCTGTTTTCATATGTTTTACGTTTCATTTCTGAGCTAGGGTCCCTCCATCTTGACGCAGACCAATCATTTTGACAACTATGATATTTGTTTTCAGATAAACATTGACTTCGACTTGTTGTATCCAGAAAAAGGGCTGAATTTTTATTTAAATTGGAAAATATTTTTCGAAAAAATTATTGCTTTTAAACCGAACAGAGACGAAAGAATCTTGAACCTTATTGAGTCACTGAAAAATTTAGACAATGATTGTAAGTGTTCGTTTTTAATTGTATAAAGCTTGAGATAGAATTAGTAAAATAAATAATAATAATAATAATAAGAAAATGTTTATTTCAGTAATGCAATTAACTTTACATTAACAGTGGATGGTACCTCCTATTAAGCTTGTCAAGCGTCAGTGTCAGGAGGTACCGCTCTTCCATAGCTATAAATTCACATTTAACATTTTTAACTTAGTCTGTCTGTCCGTCAGTCCGTCTGTCCGTCGGTCCGTCCATGTGTCAGTGTGTCCGTGCGTGCGTGCGTTCGTCTGTCCGTCCGTCCGATCGATTGGATCGATTGGGCCGATCGATTGAATTGTCTGTTTGCAAATGTTGTATTTACTTTACCACAATGTCTTTCCTTCTTCTCTTCGAAATATTTAGATCTAATTTAGAGGCCTACGTTGTCTGATTAAAGTTTGAGTGGTATAGAGTTTCGCTACAGTGGCTAAATTTGATAGATAAAATTGTATAATATTATTTTCAATTGTTACAGTAACACTTCCTGCTGAGCTTAAAATACTCGCACATCTGGTGCCTCCAAAGGGAAGAATTTCAAAAAAAATTAAGTTCACTACTCAGCAATTGACTCCTTATATATTTCTGTGCCGGTATGTTTTTTTTTAATAGCCCCGCCCTAGGGAAACCCTGTGTCGCGGGTGCCATGGATATACACATAAACAATCACAAATTACACTCAAACTCACGAGATAAATAAATTTAGGCCATACAAATATTTCTCCCAACCCGGGAATCGAACCTGGGACCTCTGCGTTGGCAGTTCGGCATGCTAACCGTTTGGCCACGGAGGAAGTTATATATGTCGACTCATCCGAAGTCCGATATGATTATATAACAAAAAGAGAATAAGAACGTTACGAGAATAATTTCGTTATTCAAACTAAGGCCTGTGTAAAGGCGTTTTGACAATTTATATATCTTATTTCGTTTCGAAAATATAAAATCCAACAACAGTCGATCTGACATTTACTGCGAAGAAGAACAAACGAAATGTACTATGTCCTGAGAACAAGTAGTCTTGCACATATAGATCTTTGTTCTACGGATGAGTAGGTATATATATATAAAACTGCCTCCTGTATATAATATATGTATTTTTTGTTTTCAATATTTATGCCTCATTTATAATATTACTTTGTGGTAAAGATTGGCTCACAAATCTGTTGTGGATACTTATTATGTTTCATGTACTCTTAATACTATCTTAATTTCTAGAATGCTGGCGATATAGACCAAGTAATCAAAGAACAAAAACAAAAGGCGACAAGCAAGAAATTGTCTATTCAACCCTATGTTATACTCCAGGGATTAGATATGTTATACTCCAGGGATAGTGTGATTGTTTAAATTATTCAGAAGGGTTGTTGCAGTGCAAATTTATATAAAATAAGTAAGTTACGTAAACAAGCCCTAAGGTTTATTGAATTATGGTTTGTCACACATATATGCATATATGTAGGGACACGAATTTTATTTCTGTGAGTTGTAATTTAATTTTCTATGTTAAAGTTTTTCATGTCAATAATTCATTTTGTATTTTACTAATATTATGCCAGTATTGTATACGTGTACAAAAAATAAACGTTTTTTAATTTATTTCCTAAATAAGTATAATCTTTTTATTATTTAAGTCGTTTTGTGTCAAGTATTTTAAGCCTGCAATTTTATTTTGTTTAAATTTGTGAACAATTCTCAAAAAAATACAACCGTTTTCAAGAAGCAATAATTATAATTTGATAAAGTCGGAACGTCATAACAGCAACGCCAACGACTTCATTAAAATTAATTGTTGCGTTTTGAAGGCGGTTATATATTTTTTTTAATTATTCACAAACTATGCCCTTAGGCTCAATTTATATAGCAGCGGAACGGAATGGAAGCGAATTTTTGTAACGTTATTGTACATAGCACTATGAATTTTATGGTCAATTGTGTAACGTACATGCTCGAGAATGCTCGAGCATTCCGCGGAAGATTTTGGCTCGTATCTAGTTTGTACCGTTACACAATCGACCATAATTTTCATTATGTTATGTATAATATCGTTACAAAAATTCGCTTCCATTCCGTTCCGCCGCAATATAAATTGAGCCTTATTTTAAACAAACAAAATGACTTAAATCAAAAATACCCCACATTTTAACCCAAGACGGTAAAATCTTACATTAAGATTTACCCCATATTTTAACCCAAGACGGTAAAATCTTACATTAAGATTGTAATGGACTTATTAATAGAAAAAAAATTTGCTTTGATATAACTGAACCAAAAGTCATAATTTAAGAAATTTGGTTTCAGAATGAAATCAAACTTCTCTTAAACATAGAAAACATAAATCTTCAGTTAAATAATTATCTCTCAATTTTCATTCTTTTTTTTTCAAGTCAAAATCAGAAATTTCTAATAACAAATAAATATTTTCTTGAATCTAGAGTAGCTTTATGACTTAAATAAATTAATTTGCTCTTGGATTAAATATTTCTGTCTTAGAACTAAAATACACTTTTGAGACGTTTTTTTACTATTATCAAGTAATTATTCTCTAGCGTCTATAGGGAGCGAATCGTTTTCTTGGATTTAATAAAATTGTCTTCATACAAAGAAATTTGTCTATTTTTAAGTAATCTGTTTTTACCGTGTATACAGCAGGATCAAACACGCAGATATGTTAGCGATTCTCATGACAATCAATTATATAAGCTTACTTTTAGGGACCATTATAATTTTCTAGTATCAAAAACTTGAAAATGTTAGGATTTGTCACTAGAACTACTAAAGAATTTAAAAACCCCAAGACCCTTATTACACTGTTTAATACTTTAATTAGAAGCACTCTTGAGTATGCCTGTGTCGTTACCTTTCTACGAGGTTCACTCTAAACGTTTGGAAGCCGTACAGAACAGAGCTCTCAAAATACTAAGTTACAGATCACACATGGGTCGCAAATTGTCGCGTTACGAAGAGAGGTTATCACATTTTAAGGTTATGTCCTTAAATTCTAGACGTAGGGCACAGGATCTTCTACATTTACATAAATTACTTCACGGCAGCCTTAAATCGTCAACGCTTCTGTCTCATATTAATTTTAAAATCAAGTGCAATCCACGACGCCTTCCTAGACCATTCGTATTGAATGTTTATACTAATAATACTTCTTTTTACAACCCTTTGACGAGAATGTGTCGGGCCTACAATGACCTTATGGCTGACCCTGGCGATGATTTAGGGATGGATATATTTGATGGTAAAATTAAAAGATTTCGCAATCGAATCCACAACCACCACGGTTTCTCTCTTTCATGGTTATAGTCATAGTAATTCTATTTTATTTTATTTATATTAATTTACAAACAATTTATATTTCAAACAAAATTGTTTACTCATGATTGGTCATGCTGTATGTACATGTTTAGGTTTACATTCAAGAGTAGAACTAGTAGTAATGTTTAAGCTTTGGTTAAGGAGGGAATGTAAACTGTTTTGTACATCTAATAAATAAAATAAAATAAAATATCAAAAGTCAATTTGTGCCATGCAATGTGATGTAGTAATACTGGTACTGACTTTCTTAGGACAATACGTCTAATGTTTATGTATTTAAATTGTGCGATCATATAATAGTAATTTAATTCGTTAGGTGTTATTTAGACGGTGTCTCACATCACACAAACAATTGCACTTTTAGAGGTAGGTATTGCGTGAGCAATACCTACCTGAGTGATCACACGGTAGTAAGATTCATGACACTTGACAAACAAAGAGTGAAATAAAAAATAGCATACAAATTAAGTATAGGTACCATTAGATGTTCGAAAAGGTGAAACTTCGTGATGTAGGTAGGTATGTTTGTAAATTAGAATAAGAGATCTTTATGTAATTGTGTTATTTTTACAAACACGTTACCGTAACATTGAGTGCAGATACCGCCATCATCAAGTAAAAGTACAACGCTGCTATGTCTCTATTAAAGTAATTATATTTCAGTCTTGTATTCTAAACAGAACAGTCTTATCAGTCTCTTTAATGAAAGACGTTCAGGATGTGTACAGGTCAATGGTGTGTTACTGTTATAATACATAATGTAGACAAGACCAGACAAACAGAATACGATTACGATTTATTACATCTCTCTACGTACATATCAGCGATTATCGATCTTAGAACAACATAATAAGGTATGTCTTAGTGGTAATAACCGTTTAACTAGGCCAGACATATCACAACACATTCAATTGATTCCAACGAGATTTAACTCTAGTTCGTCCTATTTATCGATAGAAGGGCAACAATCATTTCATTTACGCTCTTCCCATTCAACATGGGGACTTATGCTACATTTTGCAGTGCAACATAGGTATCTATATATCTATTCGTATGTTAATAGCAATTTAGTCAAAGAAAAATATTTTGCATTGCTCTTTTTACCTTACAGTATCTTTGTTTTATATGAACTGACCTGCCGTGTGCCATGTCGTGCCGCTCGTCAGTTTAGCTCGTTCCAACAATACTGCATTGACTCCTCGTTTCGTCAATTGATATAACGTGTTGCACCCAGCTATACCTCCGCCTAAACATGAATACCATTAAATAACAATGGTTAGAGTAACTCAGGTTTTATTGTTCAATTGATGGACAGTCAAATGTGTGTAGGATTCGAAATGATACAACTTTTGACGCTGTTTATAATGTACAAAAGACAATCACCATGTGATTAGAGCAATCTAATCATTTGACTTATTGACATTCAACTAAACATTGTATATACATGGCAACAGAAATTCGTTTGCGTGAAAGATTCTATGTTTATTTTATTAAACCTGACAATTCATAATGAAATTGCCTACTGAGTAACTAATAAAAACACCATACTTGCCCACAACGACAACATCAGCAGATGACACCAAATCCTCACTAGTGGCGAATGACCGTCTTTCATATCGAAAATATTTCAAATAATTCCTTGCCTTGCATCTGACACTGCTGTTTTTAATGACTTTGAACATTTTAAAATTTACTCTAATAAGAGAGGACGCGTCTAGATTGATGATCGAGAGAGGAGTGATACAATAACGAGCGGTCAACTAGAAAACGCTCAAATAAACACTGTTGTTGACAATTACAAAATGTACTTATCGCGTTAAATCTTTATCAGTCAAAGTTCACGTGTGATGTTATTATAGAAGTCTATTTATTTCGTCCGCAACTTTTTAATTAAAATAGGGCAATAAAATTGCTAAGATATGGCAAAGCAAATAATTACTGTTATACAAATATTGAAATAATAAAATATGTACGTATACGTCTAATAATAGATTATTATATACTTATTATTATTTATATATTTACTTCATTGATGAGTAGTGTATTTATTTACAGAGCTTTCATTACAATATATTCTTTGGTTGCACCCCCCTTTCCAACTCTTAAATTTCCATCCAAGGTTGCCTGGAAGAAATTGCTACTTAGCAATAAGGTCGCCTGTTGTACATTGGCTTACTCTGTGATACTTACATTACTGTTCTGTGTTGTCATTGTAATTTTAATGAGCAATAAAGAATATTTCAATCATTCATTCATTCGAATTACAACGACACAAGACACAAACAGTCGGAGAATGCAAAAAGAAAACAAAAAATTGCAAATAACTTTTATTAAATACAATTACAAATTATAAACAATAGGTGTAGTGGATTGTCTAGTGTCTAGTCTAGTCAACGTTAAACTAAAAATGAGGTAAAAACTAAAAATGTAATTCGTCGTTGGGATTATATTAGTTATGCGGCGTCACGTTATAGCGCCAGTGCCTAGTGTTTCTCCGCTCTTGGCATGTTAATTTAGGTCTCGGTAATTATCATAAGGCTTATAACTCCTTTTAACAAAAACGAAGCTGTTGGCATTCGGCTTGATCTTCTATGAAGCAGGAATCGCACAGATTTTTACATGATACTGTACTGGTACTAAAAAGCGAGTAATATATGTCATTTTTAGTAAAACTTGAGCACCTGGACCCTTGTATTAAAAGCGCTAGATCGACGTAAAGACTATTCTGATCTCCTTGGTCCGCGAAAAATTATTTAATGTCTTACGAATACCGACCCAGTTTTCCGTATCTCTATTAGAATTATTCAGACCCAGTTCAAAAAGGTGCATTCAAAAGAGCAACAAAATGTATCTACCCCATCAAATTCCTTTACAAATCCTCGATTTCCTTTCGTTGGCAAATCCAGGAATCTTAAATTATCAATGTTAGAACCAGAAGCGAAATAGAAACCAATAATGCAATTTGTCGTTGGGTGTCACTCCGTCCGCAGCGTTGGTGCCTAGTATAGGTCCGCTATTTCGACGTATTTAAATCTTTGTCAATCTGCGATTAACAAATGGTACAGGCACATAGCATACATAATTATTTAATTTAGTAAACATATTCAAGCAATAACGGCGAAGCTAAAAGGCAAGTTATGTATTTCATGCGGAGTACCGAAATAGAAACACGTTAGAGTTAATAAACCGAAATAGAAACTTTGAGATAATCAATGGGAAAATTGGCATTTATTTCCCAAATAAAAAATAACATATTTAGGTACATTCACCTTAACTAAATACACATTACTTAATTCTACACATATTATATATATATAATACTATTTAATTAAAACAAATCGTTAACGACGATGGAAACTTGCATTTTTGGTAATTCAAATTTCGTTCCAAATTGTTTGTTAGTTTATACAAATGCAATTTTTTGGAATCGTAGTTTATTACACAGAGAATGTATATTAAGTAAATTCAGCCTAAATATTTACTTAATCCAAATATGAAAATAATGAAATGCTGTTTTTTAAGAATCCTTAACATTTTTTTTTTCAAATAGTTATAAGGGTTGTTCTTACATTCGAAAATAACTAAATATAACATTTAGAACACAAAAAACATCGGTTTTAGCAACCCTAATCTCTAAAATTAATTGAAAATTAAAGAATGAACGGGGTTCGGCATCATTTTGAAAATATTAACGCTTATGTATAAATAACAAAGACGTTAATAATAGTATTTAAATATAACATTCATTCATACTAAAGGCAAAATTATCGATTATCTAGTAACATTACAACAACAAATGGGAGCACAATTGTTATGATGGTGTAGTTATTATGAATAAAAACCTTTTATACTTTTGAGACAGAGGTCAATAAATATTGGAAGAAGACGTATAACTTACATGTTTTATTGCTTACACATTTAGATTCGAACTTAGAAATAAAATCGGATGGAACTGTATCGGGGAGTGTACGTTGACCGATCTCTTTCGCTATGGTGATCAATCTCTTTTTTCACGTTAAGGTTCAAATTCACATCCTGGTACAGCACTATATACATTAGTTTTGATTATAGTGACCTTCCATACCCACCCTTAGGGTATACGAGAAGGGCACCATAACCCGTGCGTGCACAGGAATCTTTTAAATTCAGGTTCTGACCCCAGATCACATCTTGATACAGTCCTATTACCAAGATATAGTAGTACAGTCTTATTTTCATAAGGCGGCCTGCCAAGGTCTGAATTTACTTATTTCCTCACACAGCAGACGTCTATGGATAGACACGCACTGGCCCCGCCCTTTTCATATTAATAAATTTAACCAATTACAGAATAACTTCCCATCGCCGCTCACCGGCTCCTCCCGTTTTTCGCAATGCATTGATCCACGCACCGCTACGGACGATTTGCGTAACAGCAGACCTGATCCTTAAAATCACAGACCGTAGTGGGCAGCCCTTAAATCAAAATTTCGAAGCTACGCGACTTTTACGGATTGATTTTTGGATTGGATTACATTGGTAATCTGCATTTGTTATTTGATATTATAATTTTTATTCTAATACATTATTTGAGTTGCTGTTTCGTGTGATAGCCTGGGTAAACTCCAAACTTTCTTCATTGAAAGGTTTATTGCATAACTTGATACAGTTTGAACCAGGGTACTGCAGAAATTACTCTTCCCTATACAGTGTGTGCAACAACTAGTGCTAACAGAATATCCTATTTTCTATGTGAAGGTACTACTTATGAACGATCTAAACCAATGTTTAAAATAAGGAAGCCGTACTTAATGCGCCAAGACCAAGCTAGTCGGTTCATATGTTCCTTATTACGTCCGCGGTGGAGAAACTCTTAACATCTTAAAATAGGACAATGTTACCTAGCCGTATGTGGCGAAAGTATATGTGATATTTTATTACACATTTTTTTTCAGCTAACAATCTTAACAGTTTACATATTTAAGGTTATTAGTTGATGTGACGTCATACCGGATTAAACACATTCGCAGAAATAAATTATGCTCGTCTGTTGCGGTAAATCTCGAAAGACTCCGAAGCTGTTTGTCTGATTTCAAGAAGGTAAATGTAGTCGCATGAAAAAACATGCTACGTATCTAGCAACATAATCCAAAGGCTGACAAGTGATATTTAGACCCTCGTGATATTGTACAATTTTAAAGGACTTATTTATTCTATTGACCACGAGTATAATGAAGTCACAAATCAATACAAGAGCCACCAAATTCCGGGACCAAAAGTAACTAGTCAGGCTTTATTGAGTAATTTAAAGAAGTATTATACACTTACAGCTACAATGACGTTTTGGCATCTTCTGTAAAACTCAAAACAGACAACCCAAAGGTGTGATGTTGATTAAATCTAAAATAAATCTACCTAAAGGTAGTCTAGCTAAAGACTATCTTTTCTTTCTTTGGATAAATATATGTCTAGAAGTCGAGCTATGCCTTGAAAGTAAACGTAGATGCTGCACTAATTTACAAAACTTTTAACAATAAGCTCGAAAAGCCCGAACACGGAATTGCGGGGCGAAAACCCGTCGCACATACTAAGACAAAAAAAAGCATGTAATGTTCTAAAATACGCTCAACGCGCACTTGGTCAGATTTGAAACTGACCTAAAACCCTCTCCATGTTAAAGATTAGGACTGAGCGTTATTTTCCAAAAGAGTTTCAAGAAACACTTTCTTTCAAAGTAACGAAAAAACGCTTTCATGTAGGTTTTTGAAACGGTTATTAAAGAAACGACATTTTAAGAAAGCCAAACGGACTCGTACTGCAAGTTATGTATGCATGTAGTTATTTATGACGTCTGAAAACACGTTACGTTACTTGTGTGCGACTGGAAAGAAAACAGTTTATTCGTTCGTGATTCGTTCCAATCATGCGTTACAGAACAAAAGACTTTATTGTATTAACTTAGGTTACATTTTATAAAATAAAGTCCCGAAAACAGTTTTAAGAAACTGTTTAGGAATCGTTCGAAAGCGTTTCACTGCTTCTTTGTATATGCATTTGTATTGTAGATGCATTAAGTTGATATTTCTATGACAAATTAGATCGCCTACAGGACGCCTGAACATTTCGTCGACCAGTTCTATATAGGCCTGGAAAAGTACGCAGGGAGTTTAGTTTTTTTTGGAAAGGCTTTTTTTGTAACTGTTTCTGGAAAGCGTTTCTTTTTAAAAATAACCGTTCGTTTGGTTTTTCGATGGATGTAGTAGCCATCTACATTAAGATGCTCCGAGCCCAACAGTGGGACAAATATAGGTTGAAAATTGGAGGAACTAAATGGCTAACTCTCAGACGTGGTGGGGGCTGGCGACTCGCGGCGGCGTAAGTCCGAGGCGGTGCTGGCGCGCTGCGTGGTCGCCCGCCGCTGCCGCCACAGCTGCCTCCAACTGCGCGCGCAGTGCTACCAGTTCGCGCGTCCGCTGGAAGATGGGGTCCTGCGAACAAGACATCGCATATAAACTGCACAGGTCTTTATATTGTGCAAGTTTAACATCTACGTAAGCGAAATGTAGTACTTCTGTACAAAGTGTATCATAAGGCTCAATTTATACTGCGGCGTTACACAATTGACCATAAAGTTCATTATTCTATATACAATATCGTTACAAAATGCGCTTCCATTCCGTTCCGCCGCAATATAGATTGAGCCTTAGGATCAACCACATTAACAAACCACTCCGTTGGACCTCACGTACTGTATTTATTGTAGGTACTAGGTTGTTATCATGATGCCCTGTATTAATGTAAGGGACCGTTGTGTGTTTACATAAAAAATAAATGTAGTAATGTTACAAATACGTCCTTAAAATGTCAACTTACATTAGTAGTTCTACAATCATAAACCCTTACAACTTAGGTCATATACGTCTTTAGCTCGCTATGGGTTATACTCAGAAACAACGTAAATTAGCATGCATGACCTTGACTTATCTATGAATCAGATTGTTTTGGTAAATTAGCGCCGAACATGCGAGCTGGTAACAATGCACCCAAATCAGCTGATTGTGCGCCGGATCCCAACATCAGTGGCCCGTTATTGCCATTTCGCAGCAAATGACCTTTCACTCTATCTTTAATTCATAGACACTATCGTACACAAAATATTTTTTTGAGTTATCAGAAACAGAAAAAAATGCATAAATTTGTAAAAACAGTTTTTAAAACGAGCTAATTTTTAGTTTAAGTACATTGCGTTTTGAGTTTCTTAATTATTTGTTACCTTTTTAAGCTCATGGCTCTGTTGAACGTCGGTTACGTTAAATAAAGAAATAATAATAATATCATAAAAAACCCAGTGTTACAATATTGAAATTGTTTAATGATGTTTTGGCTAGACGCATCATTAGGGTACGTCTATGTCAGACACGTTAACTAAATGTAACTATTTTTAAATACAGAATTTTGAGCTCTATTCTATGCCATTTAAAACGGATATTTGACCACTTGGCACTTAGCCGCGTTTTAATTAGTGGACGGCAGTATAGTAGGGACGGTGTTGTTCACAGACCACATAAATATTAGGTGTTGTTAAATTGACGTGTTTACGTACACGACAATTTTTTTTATTTCATTCCATTAGCATTACTCAAAAAGAAACTGACATCGCTATTGATTGATAAATGTTATTATACTATTAATGATTATCTACAACACAACTCAATTCAATCACATTTTATATCACGTTTTAATATTTTTGACTTGCATCTGACATGAATTGTATTTTTTTTATAGAAATTTATTTTGACGTTGTAACGGAATTACTATTCTTTTAATACTTCTAGTCCGCTTGTTGGCATAATATGCTGAACTTTTTTAATTTTGTAACATCTACTTTTATTGCAATTTTACAAGAAATAAATGATATTGTATTCAATTCTAATTTATAAATGTGTAAAATAATAAAGTGCGGAAAGTTAGTCATTATTCACAAGTCTCCAGGCTTCTTGGCCCGACCCAAACTCGCCTTTGGGTCAAGACTCGAGACAAGTGAAAATGACAAATGCGCACGTGTATCGAAGGACGTTTTTAATACATTTGCGAAAAAACTACACTGAAAGTAAAATAAAACAGTATTAAAAAAAAACTCATTTTATTTCTTTGTCTGATAAAAATTTAGAGTACAATGGCAACTGTCGCCAGTATTCAGGCACAATAAAATTACTCGTCTCGCGTAATACTCCGGTCATTGTTATTACTCAATGAGCCATCTTTATGGAAAATATTTTGGTATTTTTAAATTTAGCCCGTTGTTTTATAAAACACCTATGCAATTTAAACAAATAAGATGTTTTAAGTAAATATAAGTTTTAATGACGAATGAATTACGTCACAAAGCACATAAATATTAAATAATTATACAACCTCTTTAGTTCTGTGTTTAAGACTTGAAACAACAGTAAATTTAAAAAAATGGAAAAGTAAAAAGCACTAGTGCTAAAAATCCAACTTTCGGTACGATTTGTAGTACGAAAAATACCACGTTTTGAGTAACTGCATTAAAAACCTTGAATAACTATTATACGTATTCTATAGGTAAGCACAAATTCATTTTTGTCAGGTAATCAGAACATAACGGTTATATCCGTCTTACTGTATACTCCGAGGTATGACGGGGTTTATTGAGTAGGTTCATCATACTATTTTTTATTAACCACCTCATTACTGACAAACCAAAATATTTCAGAAGATTTCGGCGAAACTACGGACATTTAGAAACGTTTTCTTACCTGCGGCCTCATAATAGGATTCCATCTACAGTATAATGCCTTCCACAGCTTGATAACTCTGAGCGAGGCGACGGGCACGAGTACCGTCTGCGGGCGCGAGTAAGGTGCAGCTGCAGGCGGGGTGTTTGGTGTGAACGATGATGGGCCCCAATATAGCGGGTTGAGGTATAAGTCCTGCTTGCTATTTATGTATGACCATAGCGACACTGTCTTGGATTTTACTTCTGTAACAATTTCATGCTTTATATTATTAATCTAGCTACAAGGCATTCCACAAACAAGAGGTAGACGCTAAGGGATAGCGAAACCGGCGCACTGTGATTCCCCCATAGGCCATAAATCAAAAAAAATCATTGGCTTATCCCGGTTAGATCAACTCACTAAGTTAGTAACTAGTTAACAAGCTTCCAAAAACTATAAATATCAATGTAATTAGGTCACGTTATCATTCACTTTTGTGCATCGGAAGTGAGCGCATCGCGAGACTAATTATCACCACGTGTGAGTCATCGAAACTTAATCACTTTGTTTTTGAGTGTCACTATTCCAAATCAAGTGTTTACGTGTTGTGAAAGCATGGAGATCCAAGAGCATGGTATGTACTTTTATTATCAATTTTTTTTAATTTTTTTTTATGCATATTTTTTTTATATAATTTTTTTATTGAAGGCAGTTTTTTGGTGAAAATTTTTGGCATAACTTAATTTCCTTTAGACCTACAACTTTTGGCTGCGCTGAGCTGCACCTGAGGTATATGGTTTTTGAATAAGGAGTATGTCCTTATTAAGAGCTATAAGTTTCATTTGCATCTTGCTGCCTCTTCTTGGCTTAAAGGGGTGTCAAAGTATGCATGTCCATAGTATTGAATTTTTAATTTTTTTTTAAGTTCAGCTTTCATATTGTTTTAGGTACATTTTTCAAATGTTCTGTATCGAGGATGACAATTTTTGATATTTGGCACTCTAAAGTGGGTAATCCAAATGAAAAAATGCAACACGTCCTGAGCACTTTGACCGAAACATCATCCCTTTCTGACGACATCGAAAATATTGATTTAGAGACTTTAAGCCTTAAAATTAAGAATATTTGTAAACGAATTTCCCACTACTGGGCAAAGTCGAATCGTACTAGATCTAAATTCTTAGAAAAATATTCAGATTGGCTGCATGTCGTTGAAAATATTGATGTACAGCGAACTGAGTTACGTGTATCTCAGAGCTTTGACGAAGTTAAACCATCAACTTCTTCATCGCATGGCCGTCCGAGAATTAACTTTGACGACACCAGTAAACGTACAAAAAGGAGAAGATTGGCTAGTTTGTCTAACCAAGACCCTTCTCTTGTACAGTCATTGCTCAATGCGTCCGATAGCTTGTCTTGTCCTGAAATCGATTCTAGCGAAGTTTTATCGCTCATTGTTGAAGCTCAGTTAACTCGACATCAATATATATTAGTAAGCAAGCTAGGTCCGCTAATGACAAAATGCTTGTTGCTGCAAAAAAATCATATGTTCAGACTCAATTTAGAGAAAGATTAGGGCTTATAGTGGATAAGCCTAAAAGTGGCGGAAGCGGAACATCAAACGATGGTAATACAGCCAGGCGGTTTTTCTCGAATTCAGAAATTTCCGCTGAAATTACTGGGATCAAGAAGGATCTCCTAGATCGTTGCTGGATCATCCTTCAATGTTTAAATTCGGGATATAATATTAATAAGACGAACTTCGAAGAGTTCGCTTTAGAGACGGCTCGGCAGTTAGTTGCCGAGTATCCGTGGTATAACATGCCTGCTTCCGTTCACAAAGTTCTAATTCATGGTGCTAATGTTATAGATTACGGTTTGTTGTCAATCGGAGAGTTGTCTGAAGAAGCAGCTGAAGCGACTAACAAATACATCAAGTCTTTTAGAAAAAATCATACGCGTAAAATGAGTCGCATTGTGACCAACACAGATTTAGTAAATAGGCTGCTTCTTCGTTCAGATTCCTTCATAACAGGTCTACGAAAGTTACCTGTTAAAAAAAAAGGTGTACTGTCAAAAGCTGTATTAGACTTGTTATGTATTTAAAGTTAATATTGTTGAGATTTAATGTATTTTGGTATAATTTGTGTTTTGTTTGTATTTTGTAAAATGAACTTTTTTATGTATTTTTATTGTTTTAATTTATTCATTTGTGGTTATTGTTAATACAAATAATCATTATTTACACAGTTTTACCATTAAAAGTCGCAGTATAAAATGTTTTAGATACATCGTCTAAAAACAAAATTACTGCGAGACATTTTTACACCTAAATATTGTCAAATATTTTTTAAAATGTATAATTTTATTAATTTACGTTTACCTAATCATATTTTAACGTAATAAAATAAAAAAATAATAATAATTTCGGAGTTACGTATTTATGACCGCCTTAGTATGGAGCGTGAATCACCGTGCGGCGGACAGGTGGGGAGAGCATTGAAGAGGATCTTATGCCAACCAGCGCACTCTGACGGGGAACATCTCTAACGATACCGCGAACGTCTGCCAATTCCGTTTACCCCGGTGCATTTCAGTGGACTCCGGAGCATAACAGGTGGATTCTGTCACAGTATCCTCTAGAGAGAAATGAGCTGCGATATTCCGAAGACGTTATCAGAGTATTGAAATTTATATCTTACTTCAATTGTAATAGCATAAAACATACATTGCTAAGTTTAATATCTAGCAGAATGGCTTAGACACCTTAGCCTGTCCCTAAGGACGAACAATTTTATTACTACTATTTAACGTCTACTACTTAAAGGCGTTACGGAATTCACACAACAGAAGAGAATGCAGCACACGGTAATGCTTTACCGCCTTCTGTTTAAGCGTAACGCATCTCACATGATTTGCGGAACGCGGGCAGGGAACGCTCTCGGTTCATCAAGATCTTGTGGTTTGCGAAAAGGAAGATGCTTGGTAGGGGACGTTGTGCGATATTACCTTTGTAAAAATAAACTACTAATTAAAAAGGAACTTTATCACGGTTACATAAGTTTTACACTAACATGCGGATATTTTATTCATAATAAAATTTAACGAATCATTTGAATACAAACTGTTATAAAAAGAAAAAATTCTGTTTACTAATCTTTGTATGCGCTTACCCTCCTTAACCCGTTCACGTTCAGTGTTAAACAAGAAGGTTCCAAAGCGACAAGAGTACAAATGGTCAACGATGGTGATTAGCAGACGCTCATTGAACTCGAAGGCTGTGGGGAACTGCTGCTGCAACTGCCACACACAGTCCACCCACTGCACGAACACTGGCGACCTGTCTGCGTCCGAGTGTCGCTCGTCGCCATGACCGATTCGCTGTGTGTAAAAGTTACAAAATTATGTTAAACTGAAAAAAATTGCGAAAAATTTTAAGGTTTTTAACAGCGCATACACGCATGCACACACACGTACAAGCAGAGCGATGAAACACTGTATAGTACCAAAGCACAAAACAATAAATACAGTAAAAGTGCTTAGCGGTGGGCACGCCACGTGTGCCAACAGTACGTGGTATTGCGCATACTTGACCTCAGTCCGCCACTTTCGCTTTGTACGTTATGTCGTGTCAATTATCTCGCGCAAAACCTTAAAAAAATGCCTTATTTTGCAACTTTGGAGTGCAAAAATGCTAGTTGCACCTGTAATATTATCTATCGATGGTAGTGTTTCATATCATCATGAAGTCTTATTTTATTTTAATAAATTTTCCATTTTCTGTTTATCGTAATAGATTTTATGTTATAAGAAACGAAAGTATACCTTATATCGCGGCAATAATATCGATTGTTTTTGGAGAACTAATAGGCGTTAATCGTTCGTAGTCTTTCAACTATTGCCGTTAGATGGCAGCACATTGAATGAAATTTCAATATAAAATAGAAAAGTCGAACCTTGCAATGGGCAAAGTTTAAATTATATTAACAGTCCAGGACTTGTTAGTTGTTTACACCTTTTTAAATTAGAAACTACGACCAAACAGCCAAACACTACGATATCTTGAATGAATAAGATTGCATGGTGTTTAACATTATTATAGTGTGAGTTTTGGCAACAGCGGTTCTGATAGTAACCGAGGCTTAAGGCCCGTCCATTGTTTTTTTCTGCCGTGTACCAAACAATACTATTTTGTAATTATGACATCTTCACACCGTTTTGTTGTTTGACAGAACTGTAGTGACTATAGTAGATACCGTTGATTCGAGTGTTAACAAACAAGGTGCTCTTATGACGAGTACAGAAGACCACTGCCTGACAATAAATAGTTAGGGGCTAAAACTGCAAACTAAGAAACATAAATTTATTTTACTAACATAACAGAAAAAACTGGAGGTTCGATGTTTTTGGACGATAACATCTGTAGATTTCGTAATAATATTCAAAATCACTTGGCTTCGTCTTCTCATTAGTCATAATTTACATTTATCTTTATTCCTACTAGTGCACATATCGAAGAAACCGTATGCTTACTTTTTAATGTAAATGTTTATGAGTTGAATAATTATGCTGTATTGTACAATCGATGCCCTACGATACCCGACTCCCTAACCGACTATTTGGTTCTGAGTAGATCAATGTCAAAAAAGGTGTTAAACAAACTTAACCTTTAACCTGTGAGACGTAAAATTAATTTTGGTATGACTCATTATTACATCATTCATGAATGACGTTTAAAGAAAAATTTTTAATCCAGTTTCAAGTTTAATTACATACAAATTTGAACGAAATAACTGGAATTTCTTTACATTTTTCTATTGAATGCGTAAGAAGACTCTCAGAGCGAAAAGGTTGGCAAGGGGTCATGACCCCTAGCCATACATACATATCTTAAGGGTTACCGACTGTATATACGTCAGGTTTATACTTTTTTTTTAATTTAAAAATTTAATCATCCTTGATTAAAACCTTAAATTTTAATATCGATTTGAGTACCATTATTAATAGGAAACTGTTTTGTACGTCTATGTAAGAATAAAAAAAATACTTCATGATCAAAAACATGTCAATCAAAGGTATAATGTATAGACAACTCCTGAATTTATGTTTTGTTCAAGAGCGACATCATATTAAACAAATTTAATTAATATGGTCTAATT